AGGCTGAATATTAGTCTAATTCAGGTCATTTGAAAAGGAAGAGAAAAAAAATAAAAGAATGGTATTTGTATAAATTCACATTTACTTTTGGCCAGTCAATGAAGACAGCATCTCTTGGGAATAATTCCCTTTCACTTCTGAACACAGATTAGTAGCAGCTGTATTACATATATACATAACAAACAGGATGTAGTGTCAGTTACAGGAACTAAAATGTGTGGATTGTTGTGGTTTTTTTCAATTAATATCTTATTTGTAACCTCAAACTCTACCTGTTAAGCACATTTACTCAATGCATGATATTACAGAATTTAAATTAAATCTACGAGGGTATGAACCACTCACCACATGAACTAAAATCTTGCTGAAGGCCTGATAATCAAATTAAAATATCCTGTCAATATTCCTCCACTTTTTTATTCCTGACCTTCTATGTACTGCTATCCTAGCCTAAATTTATAGGAAAATACCTATTTTCCTGGGTATATGTAGCTATGAATATCTTTACTAATCCTAACCTCTGCCCCTGATTTTCAAGTCAAAAATTAAGAAATAGTTTGGCCAAAAGACTGGCATATTATCTTAAATCTCAGAGAAACTAGGAAGTGATCTTAAGTCATTTATTTTGAAATACTTTTGATGAAAGATTAAGAAATTACATTTTTTTAAATGAAAAACAAGATAACACAAGAGTGGAATAACTTAGATTATAGCTGAAGCCCAACTCCAGAACATTTTAGAGTTAGTTGGCTAATTTTAACACTGGTAGGTGAGGTTCATGTAAAATCTTACAAAGATCCAAATATTATTGGCTCTAATTTGGACTTAGAATATAAAGCACAACACATAATATTATACACAAGTTCCCACGTACTAAATACTTATGCACATCTGGGACAACACAGATTTGGCTGGGGTGAACATTCCTTTATGCCCACTGAAAAAGCTTAATCATATTTTTTTGCAATTCAAATTGGCATAGATTTTTACTCACCCAAACCAGCAGCAAAACAGGTTAAGGGTGAGGGAATGTGAAGCATAATACAGAAGAAGCTACACACATCTCAATCCAGCTGCCTTCTACAATCTTCTCACCTGATTTCCTCCCCTGTCACTACCACCACTTCCTCAGAATGTCACCATTCATATGTTCCTTATGGAATAATTGGCTCCACACAAATACACAATTAATGACCAAATTCACCCAGAATAAAACATATAATTTAGCTAAAACACAAGTGTTAAGTGTTCCACAAACTTTGGTTCACCTTTACTAAACACACTGTTTATCCCTCTTTTGCCCCAGCTCCTCCTTTCTTCTCTTGTTCCACCACCTCCACAAAGCACCACTCCCTTTGCCCCCCTAAGAAGACTGAAAGGATCACAAAAGATCATATTACAACTCCCAGCTGGGGCTCCTTGGATGAGGGTCTCCATCACTGAGGTACTACACGCTTCAAAGTGGTTGCTATGGTAAACAACATGCTTTTCACCGAACAAAAGAGGAAAATGGTCCTTAAGACACTCCTATTGCCTGCCTAGCCAAAACCCACAGTGAATCTGACTCAGGCTTCCTGGAAAAATATTCTGCCATCTCCTCCAGTCCCTGCCCCCTGCACTGATCTTTAATTTCCAAATGTGAATATAAGATTCTTAGAACCTGGACAACCCTACTTGTTATCATTGGCTACAAGCCTCCTTCCCAAGTTTACACACTTAATTCAAATTCAAAGCCAGTAAAGGAAAGGGATCGGAAGACCACAGAAGGGCACACCTATAACGGAGTGTGCCCATCCCAGATCTCCCTCAAAGACCCAGGGCAGCTTTGTACTAAAAGAAAGACCTCTAAGACTTCTAAAGACAATGTTCTTCTTTCCCCATAGCTAAATTTCCAACCAACTATTTCTGAACTAGTAGAAGTCAATTTTAAGAGTGTGACCAATCTTAGAGGATAACAGAATCATAGTTTCAGTTCTGGATGGAAAGTTAGTGGCCAGCAGGAGAAAACTGAGGCCTGGAGAAGTTAGATCACTTGCTCAAGGTGACACAGACAATGGAGAAAGCCAGGATTTGTACCCAGGACCCCCTGCCCCAATTTTAAATCTAACTAACATTCCTTCTACTACACCACGCTTGGAAAAAGTTGAAAAAAAGCTTCTCCACCTCTCCAGTCAACTAAAATGGAATCAAGCACTGCCGAGACAAGGAAGAAAGAATTTTGTGGAAAGGGCACTGGGAGGAGGAGATATGGTTTCTGGTCCCAGCTCTGTTAGTCCTTTGTCCCTGAGATGTCAATTCAGCTCTCTGAGACTCACGTTCCACATCAGTGAAATGAAGGTAGTGGATGCAGAATCATGGAAAGAACTCTGAATTTAGAGTCGGAATGTCTGAATATGTTAGGCAAGTCAGTTTTCTTCTCTGGTCCTCAGTTTCCTCACTTCTAAGACCAGGTATTTGAACTAAGAGCAGGGGGTGTTAACCTGGAGTCCATGAACCTGTTTTTGTTCTGTTTTTTTTTTTTAATATTTTTATAATTATATTTCAATAGAATTAGTTTCCTTTGTCATCTTATGTATTCTCTCTCTCTATTTTTTTATTTGAAAACATTATCCTGAGAAGGGGTCCATAGGCTTCACCAGACTGTCAAAGGGGTCTATGACATAAAAAAAAAAAAAGGTTAAGAAATTCTGGTTTAGAGATCTCCAAAATTCCTTTCAACTATACATCCTGCTGGCTCTACACCTTTATCCAAATCAACCACTGACTCACCAAGAGAAATGTTCAGTGTCTCACCTCCATTTGTTTGCTGAGAAGTCACACCCATAAGGGAAGCCAACTCAAGGCTCACAAGTCGGCAGTTACATTATCGCCTTGATGATTTCACTGACGGGGCTCCAAATTAAAGGTAAGGGAACCCACATACACAGACTAGCTTTGCTTCTACTAGGATCATTGGCTCGAAGACTGATAAATGGAAGGGATCTTAGAGGCCATCCAATCTAACCTTATCATTTGATGGAAGATGAAGCCAAGGCCTAGGGCTGGCTAGAGAGCATACCAAGCAAAAGCTCAGGGTAGATTCTTGTTCAGACTCTGTTTCTGACTCATTGTGTGGCCTAGGATACATCACTTCCTTTCAATAGCCTTCAGATTTCTCATTTGTAAAGAGAAGGATCACAGGGTTTAGGGTTGGAAAGACCTTTAGAGATCATCCAGTCTCCTCCTTACCTCCTCTTACAGGGGAAAACAAAGGCCCAAAGGAGTTACAAAGACTGGGTTTAAACTCAGGTCTTCCGATGCTAAATCTAGTTTTTTTCCCCTACACTATGGAAGACTAGACTAAATTATTTCTAAGATCCTTTCCCCATCTAACATTCTAGAATTCCACGAAATGAAAGAAGAGCAATTCCATCTGGATGAACAAAAGAAATATTTTTTAGGCAAGGTTCACAGCAAATATTGTTCTGCTTCTTACTCTTCTCATGTTACCCAAGTTGTCAATATTCAAAAAGAAAATTCTATAGCTATTATTATTGTTATTATTTTTTTGGCGCAGCCTCATAATTGATCTTCAGGAGAATGGAGAATCACACACATGGAAACTTCCATCCACCAATGCCCATAAGGGACCCTTGATCTATAACTTAGTCTTAGAGTGTTACCTGGGACTCTGAGAAGTTGAGGAACCTGCCCATGGTCACACAGCTATATGTGGCAGAAGTGGAATTTGATCCCTAGGGCCTCCTGACTCCAAAGCTAGGCCCTCATCCTTGAGGCCAGGCTACCTCTTGCACACAAGTACACCAACCGAAAAAAAATTTTAATGACTTATTATTATTATTTTATTGTGCCACATTCTGTACCACTATTTAAATTGCATACAGGAATGTTTCTCTGGATAAAATATATCCAAATGGCTGTGGTTTGCATGAGAAGATATTCCCCAGATTTTAAATAAATTTTAACCACACTGTGTTAAGACTTTCTTTTAAAAAAATGTCTATAATAAATCTCATTTTTAAAAATTAAACATAATAGAGGCAAAATATACAAAGATTGCATCTTATGATCCTCAATAAAAAATACATGAATAGTTCCATGTTTTGCATAATTCTACCTGTCATAGATTAATTATAAAAATGTGCCATCCATTAGTTATTTTTAAAATATAAAGTCCAACATGTGATAAAATATAGAGAAGGAAATATTCTAATAAGTCCAAGCTACCTTCTCAAGAGGTTAATTTACAAACTCTGCTTTCCATGTCTACAAACTCTTTAGTAAGAAAGTGCATTAAAAATATATGTGGACATAAGCCCTTCATGAATGCGGTCATTGCTTGGTGCTAAACGCAAGTTGTTTCTGACATCACATCCACAAAATTTACAACCACATACACCAAATACAGCATAAGCCTCTCAAAATTCATTTTTACTCTAATATCATTAAATGGGTTTGGGTACAGAGGATCTTTTTCCAATGCTGTGTGAAAAAGATATTGCTACATTTAAAAACCTAAAAATGCAGGACTTCCCTCCTTTTGTGCTTTTGATTCCCTCCTCCCCCACCTCCTGCCCATTACTTATCCAGGAATGGAGGGGAAGGAAAGAGAATCATGGATCATGGAAGGAAAATCTGGCTTTTTATCATCTCCTTGATGTCATTCATAGACATGGTAATAACAGGCCCATGCCTGTGAGTGACTTTTCCATTCAGAATGGACCCAGAAGAAATAAAAGTGGAAGAAAAATTCACAAAACTGGAAAAGAGAACACATTTCTGGTTTTGCTACTTCTTAAATATATCACCAGCCAAGAGGACCTTATGGATAATAGTACCTTCAAGAGAACTCCCCACCCTATGTCTCTCCTTTGACTCCCCGCCACTCATGAACCCCTCCAAAAAAAAAGAGACAGGAAAAATAGTAACAATCTAAAAGTCTTAACATCAAAATAATTTTTCTCAATAACAGCAAGAATTGTTTTTGTGAGATTACTTACAACGATGTGTGCTGGAGACGGAGACCTTGCATCCTTGAGGGCTTGTCTACTCTGTAAGCTCCCTGCTTGAACATCAAGCAGTGGCCATTTCATCTGGAGATACTGGAAAGAGAAACAAAAATGGGAAAGAAAAACATGAGAAAAGGTGTGTGTGTGTGTGTGTGTGTGCGTGTGTGTGCGTGTGTGTAATGAAGCAGCAACATAAGAAGTTCCCATCGGTTGCTGCTTAGCAAGCCCAAAGAGAATACCAACTTTTAAAGACTGATTTCACCTTTTAATTAATATTGCATAGTTAACTTCAAAAGAATGTCACCCTGAATGGTGCCATTAATATTATCCCAATCGTAATGGGGGAAAGAGGAGAGATGAGAAGGAGGATGATAGAGAGACAAACAGAGGTAGAGAGCTGGAAGACTCCTCCGAAGTCATGTAATCTTACCCTCTCATTTTGCAAATGAAGAATCCTAGGGCCAGAGAGAGTCAAGTGATTTGCCCAAGGTCACTTGGAAGTAGGGCTGAGATTTGAACCCAAAATCTAACACTAAACCTAGCAGTCTTTCCATTGTACCACAGTAACTCGAAGGAAACTATCCATTCTGAATCTGCCTTCAAGTAGACTATCCTCATTTTTAAAATAATCGGTACAAGTGAGTAACTGTCCTTGATTAAACAACTATGTATTCGGTGAGACTAAGAGATAATGCAGCCCCTAGCCCAATAAACTACGAAACGAATATGTTTCTTTATAACAAATGTGTCTTGCACACTAATCCTTTCGGAAGACCAGAGACATTTCTGAATACACACACTGGGGATACATACTTGGCCCTCAGGCTGAGAACAAAGGAACCACTTAATTAAATCTTGCTCCAACCTTCCTGAATTAGAGAACTTATTCCTGTTGTGGTTATAGAGGCACTACCGAGAAACAGGGCTGCTACTTGCTCCATGAGAAATTGAGGTTAGCACTGGAAGGGCCCTTCAAGGTCATCTAAGTCCAATCTCAATCATCTTACAGATGAGGGAACTGAGGTCCAGAAGTGATATACTATGTCCAAGGTCACTAACAGAGCAGCAAGAAACCAAAACACTTGTCTTCTGCCTACTGTACTGTGTGCTTTCTACATTCATCTGTCCCCCCCTTTCCTATTCACACAGAATTACTTTAATTTATTTTAGTTCACATTACATTACTTCTAGCCTAGATGATTATCCTAGCCTTCTGACTTGTTTGGTCACTTGCAGTCTCATCTCTCTCCAATGCAGCCAAGGCAGAGTAACTTCATCCACCTTGAATAGTAACCCATTGCCTAGAGGAAAATCCAACCAAGGTACCTCCAAACATTGGTTCCAGTCAGCCCCTACAGCTAGAATACTCTCTGGACCTTCCTGAATCTTGCCCATTTCTGCCTGTTGAAATGTTATCCATCCTTTAAAGGTCCAGATCAAATAACACCTCTTCCATAAAAGTCTTCTCTGACCCTTCCCCCTTCCCCTGAAGCCCAATGTGATCATCTTTCCTTGGAACTATCAATAGCACATCATCCCATGCCTTCCCTGAACACTTATTAAATTCTATTTTCTATGGTTATTTATGTATATACCTTAATTCTTCTATTGGATTATAAATTTCATGAGCAAGGAGCAAGGGCCATGTCTTATTCATCTTTGTATCACCCATAGGACTTAATCCAAGGCTAAAGCTATAACTAGGGCAAAGCAACTAGAAGACTAGTCCCAGGACTCCAGTGTGAAGGTTCAGGGGGAGGAAGAGCACAACAGGCTAATTCCTATAATTGTCCAAAGACTGCTGCCCCTCCCCTTCTCTCATGGTCATCTGTGACTGATCCTTTGGCCAGCCTTCTGCACCATGCTAATGAGGTGGTGCTCTTCCTTGGGGAACCACCACCACCACCACTCTCAGAGGGGCACAAGCCAGGATCTGTATCTATAGGGGACAGATTTCCCCCTCTCGTGACATGACTACACTTGCAGTCACATATTCTACATCATTCTTGACAATGGTGCCCCCAAACACAACCATTTTTGCCCCAAGTGAAGGAATTCCTAGGCAGTGTTCTCCCTAGGACTGAGCATACATCAAGGAAATATATTTAATAAGCAAATATTAATGTAAAATAATAAAGTATAATAAAATAATAATAATAAATATAAAAACAAATATTTGCTGAATTAAAAGTTATAGGCACATTCATGTTAAAGGTTCTTAAAAGACGTGACCCTCTCAAGTTGGTTTTTTTTTTAATATATTTCTAACTAAGCAGATTGAAGCCTCAAACTTTTAAATATCTTATATTTCTCCTAGGCTGGTCACCTCAATCCCAGGGAAAGAAGGTACTTTTTCAGCAGCCTAAAAGAACAATGAGTACTTCTAGACAGCGCAGAAGAAGGGAACAATTGGGATCCGAACACCAAAAATGACATTTCTTAGTCTGACATCACAGCATCAGTTTGATGCTCATATGTGGGGACCTGTATTCCCAATTCTGCCATTGCCTGTGGACTCATAAGCATATCACACAACCTGTCAGAGCCTCATTTTCTTCCTCTAAAACTGAAGAGGTTCAACCAGTTGATCTCTCTAACTTTGCTTCCAGCTCTAACATTCTGTGACTACTATGGGAGTTGTTCAGCCTGCTGTGGGGAGACTTTGTGCCTCTGACTTCTTCCCATTCTCACTCAGGGGGCACCAACCACATAAACACATGGGCTACACTGGTCAAAACCACTCCACAGAATCATTTCCTTGAGGCCTACCAAAATGGCAGCGTGCCAACACTCACCTCTCCACCACAACTTTAAAAAAACAAAAATGCCAAGACAAAGTCACATTGAACCTCAACCCAACCCTAAAAGCCAGCTCCTGTGGCCTAGGCCAAGGAATGGTTTTCTACCTTGAACACCGCATGAGCCAAATCTGCTTGTGTTTAGAGGTTCATTCTTTTGATGAAGTATGAAATATTAGTTTTGTTCAAGGTCAGTCAACAAGCATTTATTAAGCACCTACTATATGCCAGGCCTCCCTCAAAGGCCCCTCTGCCCATGAATTGTCATTCCCATAATGCAATATTAATGTGAAGGCTTATAATTCTTACTTTACATAAAAGCTTCATTGTGTGCCAGATCCAATCTCCACAGGCTACCTGCACCACATATTTTTACGAGCCTACATTTCAGCGCTGAGAGCCTACAATACACATAATTTTCAATTATGTTAGGGCAGAACAGGATCACTGCCTATATAACATTACTGGTCGGAGGAAATGAGACCCGGCCCCACTGCCGAGAGACAGCTAACTGAATCCAGATGGTGAAGAAAGGGCATACAGGCCTTCAGAGTTACCTTGGAGCAAACACCTCCTCTCCCCACTCCTAACCCTAACAATGGCATATGACACATAATTGCAGGGCCCCCACAAATCAACAAACAACACTGGAAACTGTAAAGCAAAAAACTCTGGGGACATTCTTACTGGCTGAAGACATGGTCAGGACTCTGACAAGGAAGTGGTTATATATACACACACATACACACATTCCAAAAAAAGAAAGAGAAGATGGATTTGACAGATTTTGTCCACTTCTGCAAGAGGTCCTTATTAATAACAAGAAAAATGAAAATTAGGTACTACTGCAGCCAAAAGGAAAATCCTTTCCTTCCTTGTGATGCTAACAAGCAGGAAATTCTATTCTTTGGGGTCCTAAATACCTCTTGAAGAAGGTGGTGCCTTGGATTTGAGAGAAGGGCTAGGAATACCTCTCACCAGATTTTTCCCAGAAGTCTGACACTCATTTTACATTCTAGAGGGGGGAAAAAAAATTCCCACCATCCCGCTATGAAAACACCACTGGCTCTCAGGCTCTCTTCCTCCTTAGCCGCCTCAACGTGGAAATTATGAATTGCCTACAAAAACATTAAACTTTTCAGCAAACTGGAATCAAAAGGGGCTGTGGGAATTACGGCACTGAAAACCGATGAAATGGCCTCAACTCGGTTTTCATTTTAAAAAAAAATAAGACCATCTTGGCTTAAGCATTTCAATCCCTTGTTTAATAATAATGTTCTGATCATGGATCATTAGGGTTTTTTCCAAAATAGTGTTTTATGATATGTCTTAGAGAGCTTAAGTTAAGCTTTAGGCCTCTCTCTGTGCAAAGACCCCAAACATAGGTTATGCCAATGTGCTCGAGAGAAATCAAAGTGGGTTTTAGAGCCTGTTAAAATGTCAGCACAGAGGAAAAAAAGTAAACATCTCATTTCCAAGTACTCAAATTCCTCCCCCACCACACCCCAACACCCCCCCCAAAAAAGGAAAAGAACAAATCAGTGTCATCTTCACGTACTGGAACAATCAAGTCTCTTGAGAAATTGAGGAAGGAGCACAGTGCAAGGTAAAGAACGAAGAAAAATCAGAAGACTAGTTCAAATCTTGGCTCTGCTAGGTCTTGCCTATGTGACCCTTGACAAATCACTTAACCTAGCTTTCCCTCAGGTTTCTTCACCTATGTAATGAGAGGATGAGAATGGATAGATAGTATTTAAGGTCCCTTCCAACTTTAAATTTATGAATCTAAGAAAATGAATGAATGAAGGAGGCATTTATTAAGTACCTACTATGCACAAAGCACTGAGATAGAAACTGAGGATATGAAAAGAAAAGCAAGACAAATGCTACCCTGAAGGAGCTCATATTCTGAAGGGGGATTCAGCACATGTGGAAGGCTTCAGTTCCAAGTCAATAGAAAAGTCCTATTGTTCTCAGGGTGTGACAGCAATGAGGACAGTGAGGACTCTTCTTCGATGTCATTTTCATAGAAAAAAAATTATATCCGTATTTGATGTTGAACCATATGACAATGCCCAAGGACTCTGGTGGCAACAAAGAAAAAAGACTTTCTCTTCTAGGTCTTTAGTAACTATGGCTATCACATCAGCAGAAACTAGTTACCAGGCTGCATCTCCATAAGGGTTGCTCCCCAGGACGATGGCTGAGGGCACTGGTTGAAAGAATGGCTGTTCCCAACATCATCCTAAAGGAACAAGCCTGAGAATCATCAGGCAAGCCTGGGCCCTCATCCCG